GAGGATCATAAGGATGTCTTTGTGGTGAACTCTGGCAACTTTTATGCCTGGCCTGACGTTTGCAGATTTTATGTTTCTAAAAACTCTTCGAGGAAATGGGTTAAGTATTTTTAAAAAGACAGTTCTTTCTAAAAGAGAAATCATTTCTGATGTGACATCTTACCTGAAAGAAATTTGATATACTTCTAGTAGAGGATATGCTTTTCAAAGCTGTAACATAGCAGAAACAAAAAGTTACGACATTGAATAATCATCCCTGCACATGCATGGATGTTGGCATGTAGACTAGAAAGAACAGTTGTCTGATCAGAAAGCAAACAAACAAAACCAGTTGCCATCGAGTTGACTCTGACTCATGGCGACCCCATGTGTGTCAGAGTAGAACTCTACTCCATGGGGCTTTCAAGGACTGATTGTTTGGAAATAGATTACCAGGCCTTTCTGCTGAGGTGATTCTAGGTGGGTTTGAACCATCACCCTTTCAGTTAATAGCCAACTGTTTAACCATTTGTACCACCTGGGGACTCCTAGTTTCCTAATCAAAAACACAAAACAAAACAAAACTCACTTCATTTGGGTTGATGCTGACTCATAGTGACTCCCATTGGGTTTCCAAGGGTGTAAATCTTTATGGAAATAGATTGCCTCATCTTCTGCCCACAGAGCAGCTGGTGGGTTTGAACCACTGATCTTCTGGCTAGCAGCCAAATGCCTTACCCACTACGCCACCAGAGCTCCTCAGTTGCCTAATCAGTAGGCATTTATTTCTGACTTCACTGATCTCTCTCTATTCCAACAGATTGGAAAAAAGCTGATTTTCTAGAAACAAGGTGAATTCCGGAAGCAACTCTGATTGGGAAAAGGATGGTCTGGGAAGTAGAGCCCAGTCTTGACTTCATTCTGGTTGCTGTTGCAGCTTACTTTCCTTTTACTTTGATGGTCAAATTATGAAATAACTAGGCAAGAAGGTGTGCAGGGAAACACTATGTCCTATGCCTTTAACCCACAAAGCAGGCAGTGTTAGAATGTTCTGTTACTGACAGAGGGAAGCAAATAAAAAGGAGAAGAGTCCCAAACTAAATGACTGGCATCAGTAAAGAGTCCATATTATTCAGTCAAACCAAACCCACTGCCATCAAGTCGATTCTGACTCATGGCGAAGCGACCTTACAGGACACAGTAGAACTGCCCTGTAGTGTTTCCAAGACTATAAATATTTATGAGAGCAGACTGCCCTTTTGTTTAATAGTTGAGTGCTTAACCACTGTGCTACCAGGGTATGTTTGAAAACTGCAAAGATTGTATGGGGACATAACTGTTTTCCTCTTTTTAGTTATGTGTAAATGAATGTGTAAATGAAGTATCTTTGTCATCTTCCTGATTTTGCTGCTAAGCCCATTTTAATTCCTTTAAAATCAGGTTCCTCATTATATATTTCTGCCTCAGTTGATACCACTCTTATTCTGCTGGGGCCCTGGACTTGAAACCTTGAACTCTTCTTTGAGTTTTGTCCCCACTCCTTTACCATAATCCCTGATGATTTTCCTTTTTCTTACCTCCATCTTTTCCTTTCAGTTGCTGATGTAGCCCCTGCTTCAGGCTGCCTGCACTGTTGAAATTACCTCCTGGGAGATGTCCTTTCACTTTTTCTTCACTGAGCCCACCTCCTTCCTCATCCCATTAGCTCATCGGTGTTGGGCTGTAAACTAATCTTAGGAAGACACGCCTTTGCTCTGCTCACTCTCTTCCCTTGTATGAATCGGGAATCATAAATGATCTCTACTGTTGACTGCAGGAGTTCCCATCCAGTGTAAGTGAAGCACTCCTCTAACTTCAGTTTAAACTTTGAGATTATCGATGAGATCTCACTGATGCTAACATTAACAAGAATGCCCTGTGCTCTTTTCCTTGGTTAGGTGGTGGTAGTATTGGGAGGATGTTGTGCTTACAGAGTTTGAATAAGGGAAGAGGTACCATTCTTTTCCTTGTTGGCACCAACAAAAAAGGAGTATGGTAGTGGCCACCAACCCGGGTGTCTATTAAGTATTTCTTTGAGGTCTGTGGGAAGATTTGGATCTCCTTGTGGAAGGCCTACAGAATGAAGTAGCTATTTTTCATTGCTCCTTCACAGTCTGACACCTGCTGTCTTCTTCAAACTTGTTTATTATTATTATTAATTACTTATGGGAGACTTCTGTTGCTGACAGTGTTCTGCTCTGCTTTTTGTTTGCTTAATCCAAACATCCCCACCTCCACACTGTGCCCAGATGCCCCTTCCCCTTTAAATCATACTTTTTTTTTCTGTTTTTCTCCCAAACCTTTCTTTCATAAAACCTGTTGCTTTCTAGTACCATTTTTGTTGATTTCGTAAAGATTGAGTTCCTATTATGTTAAGTAGTATGATGAGAATTCCACTTAAAAAGACAATTACCTTGTCCCTAGGAGTTTACATTTTAATGAGGGTAACAATTATACTAACAAGTGCAGTCAAATGAGATAAGATTCAGAAGAGATAAGTAAACCAATTTGGAATAAGTGTGTGTGAGTGTGTGTGTATTTGGAGGGTGACATGGAAAGTTTTCTATAGGAAAGCAATTATAAGAACTAAAAGCTCTCAACATTTTATAGCAGTATATTTTGATTTAGGGGAAGGCCTATCAAGATTACAGCCTGGAAAACCCTAGGAGGCAGTTCTGCTTGGTCTTATGGGGTCATCATGAGTCAAAATCAACTCAGTGGCACCTAACAAAAAAGCCCACATAATTTGATCTGTGTAACTTTATTATTTGAAGCTGGTTTTGTGGTTATTCTTAATGTTAACTTTTGTAGTTTAATTTTATTTCTATTCATAATGAATGTGGTGATCTAATGGTTACTGTCTTCTTAATAATAGCTTCCCAAATGTTTGACCAAGAAACACTTCTCAGGTCTCTCTTTAGAGAAAAGAAAACTAATTTCTTCAAGGATGCCACAGCCCTATTACTAATTATTCTAAATTCTTCTACTGTGGAGTTCGAAACTGCAAACAGATGCGTTGACTCAGTGAAGCTCTTCAGAGTAGTGCTTGTAACACTGGGATTTTGTGACAGTGCTGATTCTGATGCGTAGGTTGGGGCAGGCCTGATATTTTGCATTTCTAGCAAGCTCCCAGGTGATGTTGATGCTGCTTATGGGTGGAACATGGCAGAGTTTTACACTATGTAAAGAGATAAGGAATTAAGATGAAAATAAGTGAAGGTATGTTTTGTTTAGTCTGTGTGGATGGCTCCTGCAGTCTGTGTACATCCTCTTAACCATCAGTTATTCTTACTAATCTAAATCAACAACTAGTTACTCAGCCGGGTTGGGCTGGTATCCTGCACCCAGAGACAGTGAATCTGGCCAGTGCTCTGACTAGGAATCTCCTCCCCCAGCTCTGGTGGTGAGTATCTTTAATGTCATGAGTAGCTATGATAAGGTACCTGCTTGGGGCTGTGGTATGATTCCCTGAGGCCCCTGCCCACTGACTAATAGGAAACCTTGCCTTGGCAGTGGTAGGTGTTCCTTTTGGCATTCTTCCACCATGCAACTGGTTTGTGTAACAGTAGGGCTCCAGGAATGGCTTCCGAGGCAAGTCTGTATCCTGTAATGTGCAATCAGGAACTGGCAGAAAATTTATCTTTATCTTTTAAGATTCCCGTTAGAGATTCTCATTACCTGTAGGACTCCAAGCATATCTAGTGACTTGCCCATGACCTCTTGAAGGAGCCTGCCACAGTGAAATGCAAATGTCTTTATCTGGCTTGACAATTTCCCTGATGATTTTTTTGTGGATCTTTTACTGGCTCCCTCTGCTTTTCTATTTTGTAGACATTCTTGTACACTGAAGTCAGGAAGCAGTTGTTGCAGGCACTTTGTTCCCAAGTCTTTACAACCAAAGCTAGAAAGAATTATTTTCATTGTCTTCCTGGAGGACTTTCCTATGGAATTCCCCCCTAGATTGGATTGTAACAAAGGGTTTTAGATTCAAGAGATCTTGTTTAGTGTGGCTGTCTCAGTACAAACTGGGAAATAAATGTTGATGGTATCAGATTAGTTCAGTGGTTTTCAAACTTCAGATATATCTGTCACCTGGAGGTCTTGTTAAAATGAAAATTGTTAGGTCCCTACCCTAAGAGTTTCTGATTCAGTAGGTCTGGAGTCCAGGTTTTGTTTTGTTTTGTTTTGTTTTGTTTTGTTTTTTGCTGTCAAGTCTGCCCTGACTCATGGAGGAGCCATGTGTGTCAGAGTAGAACTGTATTCCATAGGATTTCCAATGGCTGTTGTTTTTTGGAAATAGATCACCAGGCCTTTCTTCCAAGACACCTCTGGATACACATGAACTTCAGTTAACAGCCAAGCACCTTAACCATATACACCATCAAGGGACTCCTAGGACTGGAGCAGAGCTGGAGAATTTGTGAGCAGCCCTGTTCTTCCCACCTCTTGTGATATGTTTTCATAAAAGGCAGTCAGTGATAACCAGGGAGGTAGGAACGTGTTCATGGTACCATTTACATTGTTGACCATAATTACCATCATTATCTACCACTTCTCATAGATTTGTTAGTTGCCTTTTCATTTTTATTTTTTTTAGACACTGAGACCCAAGGAAGCAGCAGCTCTTCTGGGGTTTCTGTGCAGTCAGTATCCTTTGTGGTAACCCAGCTCATTTCCCATAAGACATTTTGGTTTATACTGGAGTAGAGAGCAGTCTTCTAGGGTAAGGTTATATGAACGCATAGAATGGGGGCAGCTGGAAAAGTTACTTCCCACTTACCTGCCTGGCATTAAATTGCATTTGTCAGGATGGTCCTTTTTCTTCTTGATAGCTAAGAAGAGGTTGTCTGGCTGACTTGGCTCTATTCATCCTTCTAAATCCCTTCGATGCACCTTGCTTCAATCACAAGGACAAGATGATTGTTTTGCTTGTCTGTACTCCTTTATTAAAGGTGACTAATGCATTACTTTCTATGAAGCAGTTCTGGAGCATCCCAGGAGGGGCACAGTGATCTGGACTTGGGTCTGGATGACCTTCCCTCAGATGAGGAGGAAGTCATCAACAGTTCTGATGAAGATGACATCAGCTCTGGTTCTAGTAAAGGAGAGCCCGACCCCTTGGAAGATAAACAGGTATGTTTTGGTGCTTAATTGTTTATTCTTTTGTGCCCTTTGGCCTCTCATTATGTTCGGGAATAATATTTATTAGCATAATAGGCACAAAAACCCTAGTGAATTTTCTTAAAGGTTATGAAGCATTGTTCTAATTTAAATCTAATTCCTACTGTAATTTTATTTTATTTTATTTTATTGTGATTTGGGTGAAGATTTACAGAGCAAAATTCACTTCCCATACAGCAGTTCACATATACTTTGTCACTGACCAGTTTACCACAATGCAACAGCTCCCCTCCCACTTCCTCCCCATAGTTACCTCTTCCCAGTGTCCATCCCTCCATAACATTCCTGCCCCCTGAGCTGTTTCCCTGTGCATAAGCAGCCCTTCCTTCTCCCATGATTGTTCTCTCCAAAGCGTGTGTCTACTTGAGGTAAATGTTCAACTCATATGCCTGTACTTTGTTTGGCTGGAAACCACAGATGTGGGTTCAATTCCAGTCCTGAAGGGCAGCTAGGGGCCATAGTCTCAGTGGTTCCACCAGGCTCTATCAGACCGGCAAACCTGGTCCCCACCTTTTTCCTACTGTAATCTTAAGTCTAAGATGTTATGTTTCCAAGTGCATATTTCACTTAGAGATTGTTTAGATAAATTCTTTTTAGTAGTGTCCACGGGTTTTCTTTTTTGATAACTAAAACCCTCTTAGGCTGATTCCTTGTACTGTTACCCCTTCTGCTTAGATTTCTTGAAAGAAAGGGATTGTATATGTTTTCATCCATAACCATGTATTTTCAGGGACAGAATAAAGATTGCTATTAATAGCATAGCAGCATCTGCTTTGAAATAACTATGTGTGCGTTTGTTGAAGTTGGAGTCATAATAGAAATGAAGCAAGATTGACCATGTGTTGATAATTATTTAAAATGTGTGATGGGTACTACTGCATTATTTTTGTATGAATTTTAAATTTTCCATTATAGAAGAATTTTTTTAAAGCATGATTTTATATTTCATAAAAATATCTATTTAACTTTTAAATCATGTTTTACAAAATGAAGACATAATTAAGGGGAAAAAGTAGTGCCTTAGCAGTATCCCTGGATGTTTTGGTGGCAATGAGATTAAATTTGAAGGGTCTGCACAGCATATCAAGTCATGGAGTCACCTAATTCCTGTGCTGTAATTTATCAATAATTTATGCTTCCTGTTTTAAATATTTTCCTGTGTTTAATTCATTGTCATCTTTAAGTGAATGGCACATGTTACTTTTTATCTTGTATATTGTTGCTACAGTAGAGTGTTTCAGAGTACAACTGTCTTGATTTAAATCCCAGCTTCACCACTTTGGACATCTGGGTCCAAAACCAAACCAAGCTTGTTGCATCGAGTTACTTCTAATTCATAGTGACCCTTTAGGACAAAATAGAACTGCACCATAGGGTTGCCAAGGCTGTAATCTTTAAGGAAGCAGGTTACCATGTCTTTGTCCTGCTGAGTGGCTGGTGGGGTTGAACCACTGACCTTTTGGTTAGCAGCTGAGCTCTTACGTACTGCACCACCAGGGCATCTTAGGATCTGGGTGGCCTTAGGCAAATTATTTAACTTCTTCGACTAAAACACCCCATCTTACAGATGAAGAAAATGATATTACTTATCTTATAGAACTGTGAGGATTAAATGATTTGATACATGTAAAGCCCTAGAATACTGCGTAGCCTGTGATAGGAGTGCAATGATTATTTTTTTATTCTTTGTTAAATTATTGAATCATGGGGTTGGGAGTAACTATAAGCAATTACTTAGCCTTAAGATTTTGTAAGACTTCTAAGGCAGAAGAATAATTCTTTTCCTTAAAGATGCCTAGCTTTCCTCCGCTATCTGTGGGTTTTACTTTGACTGTTAGGTAATTCCTCCTGTGTCTTACTAGCATCCATCTTGCTGTAATTTGAAACTAACTTTTCATGTTGTTTTTTCATGGACATAGATTATGCAAATATTTCTAGAACACCTACTGTGGCCCGTGCACTGTAGGTACATGACAGAGATAAAGCAGTGCTCAAAGACCATGCTCTTATGGAGCTTACATTCTAACAGTTGAGGCCATAATGGCATGAATAGTAAGAACTTGAGAATGTTCTGTGCTGTGAAAGAAATAAAACAGAATGATGTGCTAGGAACTGTGGAGGCTATGTTGGATAGAAGCCCCTGAGAAAGTGATATTTTACTGAAACTTAAATGATTAGGAGAATTTGAGGAAAAGCATTTAAATGATTTTCTTCCGTAAGTGCCATAATTAACACAACCAAACCAAACCCATTGCCACCTAACTTGATTCCAATTCATAGTAACCTTAGAGGACAGAGTAAAATTTCCCTTTGGAGTTTCCAAGGCAGTAAATCTCTATGGAAGCCAACTACCACATCTTTCTCCCACTGAGTGGCTAGTACATTTAACTGTTAATAGTCTTTAGCAGCTGAGCACTTTAACCACTCCACCACCAGGGCTCCTTCTTGTGGGAGTAAAATGGTATTCCATTGTGGTTTTGATTTGCATCTGTGATTGCTAGTGATGCTGAGGACCTTTTCATGTGTTTGGTGGCCATTTCAGTGTCCTTTTTGGTGAAATATCTATTCAGGTTCTTTGCCCATGTTATGATTGGGTTGTCTTTTGCTTGTTGTCAAAGTTTTATATATATTTTTGTTATTAGATTCTTGTCAGATATATGGTTTCTGAAGATGTTTTCCCAGTTGGTAGCTTGTCTTTATTTTGGTAAAATCATTTTGATGAACAAAAGTTTTTAATCTTTATGAAGTCCCATTTATTTTCTCTTCTGCTGTTTGTGCTTTTGATATTATGTTAGATAATCCATTGTTAAAAGCTAGGCCTGACAATGTTGTTCCTACCTGTTCTGTGGTTTTGGTTTGCACATTTAGGTCCTTAGTCTATTTTGAATTTGTTTTTGTATATGGTATGAGGTGTAAATCTTATTTCATTTTTCTGCACATGGTAATCCAGTTTTCTCCACACCATTTATTGAAGAGACTCTTCTTTCCGCATCAAATGGACTTAGCACCTTGTCAAAAATCAGTTGACCATAGTTGGGTTTATTTCTGGACTTTAAGTTCTATTCATTGGTCTATGTGTCTATTGTTATACCAGTACCAGGCTGTTTTGATTATTATAGCTGTAGAGTATGTTTTAAAATCAACAAGTGTGAGTTTTCCTACTTTGTTCTTCTCTTCAAACATTGTTTTAGCTACTTGGGGCCTCTTGTCTTCCCATATAAAGTTGAGGATTGGTTTTTCTGCTTTTGTAAAGAAGGCTGTTTGGAAACTTGATTGAGATTGCATTGAATCAATCTATAGATTGTTTTGTATAGTATTGACATCTTAGCAATATTGTCTTCTAATTGATGAATATGGATTAACTGTTATTACTGGTTTATATGAAAATAAACAAGAGAAACTGGGCATCTCAAATCAAGCTTTTTGTAACCTGTCTTAGTTTCCTAGTGCTGCTGTGACACAAATACAAGTGGGTGTCTTTAAAGAACAGAATTTTATTTCCTCACAGTTCAGGAGGCTAGAAATCTGAATTGATGGCAGTGACTCTAGAAGACCCATGTCTGTTTCGGCCTCTGTAGCTCCAGTTCCTTGGTCCTTAGTGATATTTACATGGCATCTGTCTTCCCCAGTTTGTGCTGGTTTCTGTATCTGGCCTGCTCTTTTTAAGTCTCAGGAATGATTAGGTTTAGGGCACATCCTACACTGATATAGTGTATAAGCATAACAAAGAAGATTCTATTTCCAAATGTGATTATAACCATCGGTCATAAAGGTTCGGATTCTACCACGTATTTTGGGAAAACGTAATTCAATCCATAGCATCACCTTACCATGTAAATAGATATGGTTTCAAGTTTATCTTTTGCTATCTTTGATGAATAAATCTGAAACATATTTACATGTGAGGCGGTATTGTGTTTTAATGGAAAGAATATGAAATTTGGCATCCTAAGACCCCTGTTTCAGTCCCAGCTCTTCCCTTACTAGCTGTAAAATCTTGATCAAATAATGTAAAAAAGTCAACCAGTTTGCTTATACCAATTGACTTCCCTGACCTTTTCTTTTTCAAATTTTTCTTTGTAAAATAGTTCATATGATATTAAACCCTTAAGAAGGAGTGGGATGAGGGGACAGTGTCACTTATGGAAACTTAAGAGACCCTTGTCCTTTAGAGGCTAATCACACTGTCACCTCATCTTTGAGATAATGATAAATAGATGTTCCTCAAGTAGGTCTGGATATTGATTTTGTTTGTTTTTTAGTAGAAGTCTTGAATAGGATAACAGAGACCTTTAAATAGTTTTATGAAAAAGTAACAGATAAGTTTCACTGACGTTTACTTGTAGCAAACAGATATGAAAAGAGAAGAATACAATTCAGGAATTACAAAGCTAGGCTATTACCAAGGGATTGGAACATAAAACTAGATTTCAAATCAAAGGTTCGGTGTTGGAATTTATTTGACTTATTTCATGACCTTGACAAAGTAATTTCATGTGTTTGTGGCTCATATTTCAACTTCCACACCAATATACTTTTGGGAGAAACAGTTATTTAACAGGCAACCTGCTTTGAAATGTGATATAATTTGTGGGGATTCTCACTAACTCAAAGTTAGGATGCCAAATATGGCCTCTTCCAAGTCCGTACGGTGGAGTGCGTTTTCTATCAGTTGAGTTGGGTCAGAATCAGAATCAGTCATTGTTCTTACAAGTTGGAGATGATAGAAAGATTTTTTTTTTAAGTCATCTTTGACTTTCTGTCTAACCCAAACCCACTGCCATCAAGTCCTACTCATTCCTACTCATCTGTCTAGTTTGAAAATAATTGTAATCCATTGAATCATTTTCTAATAGTTACTATTCGTTTTTAACTCTATAGTTTTCCTAGTTTAAAAAATAAGGTAGATGATAGAATACTTAGACTCCAAGAATTTTAGAACTGGAAAATAATTTAATAATGTAGTCCAATCTGCTGCTGTTTCATGTGATAAAGTATCTATAATGAGATTTTTATTCATTTCAGTTTATGTTTTCATGTTGTTGTTGTTGTTATGTGCTGTCGAGTCGGACCCGACTCATAGTGACCCCTCCTTGGGTTTCTGAGGCAGTATCACTACGGAAGTAGGATTGCCCAACCTTCCTTCCGAGGAGTGGCTGGTG